CCTCTGTCAGCCCCTCTAAATGTTCATTTACTGTTCATCTTCTTAGTTGTCTGTCTCAACAAAGTCTTGTATTCAGAGCCTGAGCCTCGCAGTAATCTTTTATAACGTGGTTTATGAAACTACATTAATTTGCTTGTGAGAAATTATATGAACTAGTTTTCTGGTAATTCTGATTCTGCTGCTCAGTTGGATTAAGCCAGTCACATTTTCTGCAACACAACTCCTACTGTTGACTGAACCTCATTAAAATATACTTGTCTCTATTTTAGCATAATGTTAGTATCGTGTGTTTTATTTATTTTGTTAAATGAGATTGCAGTTTTGTAGGAATTGCCATGTTAGTTTGTAGGCAAAACCTGTAAATGAGGGGTGTGTGTGTGTGGTGGGGGAAGGAACGTGGGGTCAAATGAGGGCAGGTAGAGCTCAACAATAATTCCAGTTTCACCCAGATGGAGTTGTGAAAGAGAGCCTTTAGGGCTGAATTGAATAACACAGGCTGCTATTGTGTCGACTGAGAGCTACTAGAAACTATTGCCCTTCATGCCCTTTAATCTGTTTTCAGAGCATCTGAATTCTTCACCCAAACAATACATGTTACTCAAAATATCTTTTGTTCTTAATTTGTTTGACTGCACAGTTTGTTCTTCAGTGTTTTGTCCGTCCCCATAACATTTAAAGTTCTTGGTTAAAGTGTGTCGTTGACTCTCAGGGCCACCGTCCTGATTCAGAAATGAAAACTCAGACACATCACATGTTGAAAATAAATAAACTATATTTAAATAGGGTCGATTTCACTTGTTTAAAGACCTTAGCTTTTCTTTTCCTAACACATTACACGTCATGCCATGTTCTGAAAAACAAGACATTTTTCTACTTTTTTTCCATTTCATTAAAAAACTTTAATATCATCTTCAGTTAATAATTTATTACAGCAATGAATAAATGTTTATTTCTATCACATTATATTGTTGTAACTTCAGTCATTATTTCCCTGAAAAGTTTCAGGCAGAGATTTTTTTTTTTTTCATCATCACAGGAAAAACTTTCACACAGACACATTGACATTAAGACCTGGGAGACGGGGAGATGGAGAAGAAGAGGAGTTGGGAAGAGCACAAACACAGACACAGAAATATTGTAAAACAGACGAAAAGGATGCAAACTGACATGACTTTGGAACACCAGATTAAACCCTCTTGTCACAGCTTCTCGAGGAAAAAGAAAACGAAAGAAACACACAGCAGACACTGTAAATGTTTGCGTGTTTGTTTGTGTCTGTTGATTGTGAATGTGTGTTGTTGTGCTGCCTGCTCCTTTTGTTTTACAAATCAGCTTTTGTGTTGAGGAATGTGGAAAATCAGTCTGACAAAAAAGCCTATAGGTGTCCATCACAGTAGACCATGCTGCTAACACAGACACTGGGAGCCATCATGCATCTGCAGGGAACACAGGGTAGGGTAGGTTGGGGCAAAGGTGTCACATCTAGCTACAGAACAGCAAAGACAAGTTAGTACAGAAGTTCATTGAAACAAGGAACATTGTCCAGATGTTGTAGACAGTTTCTTCGTGCTAATGCTGCAACTGGGATCACAATCTAAACTATCATTGTTCACCCAGTCATTGTTCACACGTGTGTTCAGCAGAGTTGTGTGTGCTCGTGTGCTCTGTAGGTCTCAGTGGTTAAGCCAGTTACTCTCTGTTGCTACAGCCACACTGACCCGCTTCACAGCATTTATCACCATTTTCAATACATTCGTTCTGACCCGAGACTGACCCTCACACTGGAAATGTTCCACACTGTTTCCTCATGTAAACATGCTAATAACTTCCTTCCGAAGGACTGGATAAGAAATGTATGTTGATGAAGAAAAGATGAAGAAAAAACACTGCAGCAGAAATGGACATATTAAAGGGACAAGTCAGGTTTTTTTTAGAATCAGGAACTGACTAGTGCTGACACTTGCACACGCCATGACTACAACACACATGGCAACCAAGACAAAAAAAAAAAAACTATGCCAGCATAATGTCTAACACTTATTAAAATAAGTTTACCTTCTTTCTGTTCATCACAAACCTGTGTTTGTAGATCATCTTTTCATTTTGTTGTCATAATTTAAACAGCATCTTTTGTGTGTCTATGTGTGTGTCACAATGCTGTCTAACAGCAAGATTTAGCAGTAAATTACCCTTAAATAACAGATCTGAGCTGGCATAGATTTTACAAGATATATTTTTATTAAAGGACCTAAATCTGTTCTTTACGTTGCAAGTGCTTTGCATTCAGCACAGATTATGTCAGAACCTCATACTATACATACACATGTTCAAATATGTAAACTATCACCTTAGCTGGACTTTAAAATCCAAAGCCATAAACAACACACTGTATTGCACATTAAAACCACACTCCTTGAACTTATCTCCAAAAGATCAAGGGCATGAGGCCCAGCTTATATATTGATAAATAATCTTGTAAATAAATAAACAGTCTATCTGGTCTAGTCTCCATTAGTAACTCATGTCAAAAAAAGTTTGATTAAATGAGGATGGACTATGATACCCCTTTCTGTTTTAGAAGATCTCAGGTGAACATCTTGTGGAAATCTATCAAAATCGAATCCAATAAAATTCAGCCTCAATGTAATGTACAACAGTGGTGTGACAAATTGTTACAGCTTTAAACATGGTCTAGAAGTACACAAAAAGTACCTCGACTTTATCTGTAAGGAAAGATACAAAACTGGGTTTAGAAAGTATACAAAGTATAGTCAGTTATAGGTGAACGAATTGAACCTTTCAGATATTATCAAGTATAATAAGAGTAACAGTTTCCACTTGTATAGCACTTGTTTGTAGTGAAGGAAAAGGTATTACCGTGGCTAATGACAGGCAGTTTATCTTAGAGTATATGATGAAATGATAAATTCATTTCCTGTATAAAGGATCCTGGACTCTCAGTGCTGTTAGTTGTTATCTCATATTCAGAAAGAAGCCAATGTTGTTCATTTGAAAATGTTACAGTAACTCAGAGTGGCTGAATCTGTGCAGGGGGCAACGTTTTCCTGCTGCTCTTTTTAGAATCTTTTACAAGAGCGTAAAGTAAAATAGCGATTTAAATAGGTACAATATTCAGTGTATGGGTGTTTTGTTCTCTCTAGTTGTCACTATGAAGCCTCCAACCAAGAACATTAAGCAAACAAACCATGTAACACTATCATATTAAAATTACGGGTCACAGTGCACCAACATTTAATATTTTGATCGAGAGATTATTGGGGTTGACCTATGAACTCTATAAAGCTGAACTCTAAAATAATATTTGTGTTCAAATGTCCTTCTAAAATGTGTTTTTTTAAAGTAATCTGGAAGGCCAGATATTATTTACCAATGGTCAGTTTTGCCCCACGGGCCACTGATTGTTAACCACTAATCTAGAAAACACATATTGTGATATTGACAAATCCCATTAAGTCTGAAGTCCTCAAAGTTCATTTGAATGAACTGTAGCCTCCATTCATAATCTGACAGCCTTTAACAAAGTCACTTTCAACATTGATGTAAATGTCAAAATACTGACAATAATGACTTTTTTTCCATGAGGTTTTTCACTCACTGACTGAACTGGACAAAAGAAGGAGTCGAGTCAAAATGTGTTGACTAAATACAAAAAAAATTCATAAAGGAACACAACAAAGCTCAATTAAAACAATAGTGGACGATGTGAATACTACATTTTCATTTAACTGTTTCTTTAAGGCATTGTATGCGTGCTGTTGAGAACTTAATTTTAGTGGACTGATTAATGTGCCAACAATAATGTTTTACAAGGAGACCTATAGAGTAAACTAACACTGTTTAGTAATGTCTGACTCTTCATGCAGGCTCTGAAGTGCTGCTGTCACTTCAGTTAAAGGTTTAGTCCGTCAGAACACGTGCACATGATCGGATTAGTTCACCTGGCACAGGCGCTGTGACAATGAGCATCTACTCAGTGACCTTGGTCCAGGTTTATCACATAAGGAATACGTATGTTTACACACGCACAGACAAACCGATTGGTTCTCTTCACCGAGCAGACACGAAGATGCAGGAATGTCGCTTACAGGTGGCATTTAATTTGCCTTTTAATCTACACATGCAAAAATGTATCCTTAAGTTTGAAGCAAAAACGATGACTAATGTATGGCTCTTTGAAAATGTGTGTGCATGTCTTTATATATAAGTTGGTTTTCACCTCATCAGGTGATGATCTTGTTTCTGATTTGGTGTCTGCACAAATGAAAACAATTCAATTTTCAACTTTCTTTTTTCTACTGAAAAAGCAGCTTTTTCTGAATTTACCACCAACCCAGCTCTGCAAACATCTCCTGGACTTTTTTGCAGTGTCTATCCACTCAAAACACTACACACTTTGTACATTTGTGTTGATATTTACAGCGCATGTGGAGAACTGCCTGAATCTACTTGTTAAGCGTCATGATTTATTTTAAGTTATCATGTAGTAAACAAAAAAAAACATTACTATTATTATTGTAAACATTTGACTTTTTCCCACACAGCACCTCCCCCGGAGAGACAGGAGGGGAGTGTGTTACTGTGTTTGTCCTCAGTGTGTTCACAGGTTTCCCTCCATCTTAACACTAACAGGCCTGTTCCTCTATACCATCGCTCTGACACACACTAAAGCCACGTCACTGCAGAGGCTGAGCCTGTCTTCTACAAATTCAAAATCTCCATCTTAGTTCCTCGTCCAAATGCTTCTCTACTCTTCACCTTTCCAGCGCTTTACAAACACATTCTTTTGCATTTTTTCTGCCCTTCGTCGTGTGTGCGTTTTTTATAATGTTCCTTCACTTGTACATATATAATTTGTATTTGAACATATATCTTAAGTTTGTCCTTATCATTGCGTCAAAGGGCAGGACCCCTCTAGGCTGCAGTCCGCCCTATCAAGCAGAAGAACCGTACACTTGTTTCATGTTAAACCGTGGACTGTGTAGACTGAGTGTAAACTATGTGTGTGTGTGCTGTTGTGCAATAATCTTCCAGGATTTGTCACCATTTCCTTTAAAAGCCGCTAATGTGACAATAGGCCTCCAGGCTGGAAAACAAGATGTAGAGAAACCACAGGCCCAGGAACAGCAAGGTGGTCAGGAGGCGGGATACTCTTGGACCACCAAGCTCCCCGCCAATGGACGGCCGACGTCTGAACATGAGCACGGCCACAGAGATAAATGCGAAGATAGTGAAGAGTGTGACCGAGAAAGCCAGAGACCCTGGATCCACCCTGAACGGCTTGCCCATGATTTTCCAGTACACGGCAGCTACGGACCAGGCCACACCGATCCCCAGGAATACGTTGACGGCATTGCTCCCAGTGACATTTCCAACAGATGCATCGGCGTGCTGATCCTGCGTTGCTGCCACTTTGCTCGCAAAAGTGTCTGGAATTATACATAAACAGTAAATCATGACATGTTATTGACAACAGTTCAGTCATTTTATAATCTAAAAGAGAGACATAGGTGCCTTCTTATTCTTATATAATATATGTAATATATGGATTTCATAGGAAGAATGTCGTTCATTATCTGAAGAGAAAACACAACGACGACAATAAAGGATACAACCCAAACTGACCTTTGTTCTTTTGTTTTAATGCTAACCTTTGGAAGCTGGTTTGTAAATATCTCAGTGCTTCGACCGGGATGTTGGCTCACCTGGAATGGACGTTCCCAAAGCTACAAACACGACAGCAGTCACACTGTCACGTAGTCCAACTGTGCAGCCGAAATGTGAGGCCAAATCCCCGATGATGGCGGTGAGGAAGCCGATGACACTGATGGAGACTAAGAAACAGGCCCAGCCATTCCAGTACTCTGTGGGCGGGACACAGGCAAAAAGGACCTTCCAGAAGACAGTGAGGAAATGCATGACGTAGTCGTAACAAGAGGGAAGATGCTCCTCACGACCTTCCTCATCATCGTCACCATCACCTGAGGGCAGAGACATGGGAAGAACATAAGTAACTATATCCATCCATCCATCCATGTGACCATATGTTCAGTCAGTATTAGTGGCACAGTAAGTGGTGCAGAGCTCACCTGCACTGACAGTAGCAGCCTCCACAAACTGCTCCCTCCACGAGTGAGTGCCGATCACCAGCGCCAAGTTGGTCTTTTTGATGAGCTTGTCGACCGTGCTCTGTCAAAGAGAAGCAATACCAACGTGAGTCGCCACAAGGGGCAGTGTTCGTGCGATAAGACTGTAGGAGGTACAGTCAGACAAACCATTAAAGAAATAGATCTAGTTTTTTTAATATGGCTTTAACATGTTTTTTGACCTGTACTATAGTAAAAAAAAATAAAATATATATATATACTGTAGCAGATGCTGTTTTGTAACATTTATTTTTGTTTATTTTTTGTGACTGATATTAAGGTGTCATTTAAACAGCACCTTCATAATTCAATGTTCACCTGAACCAGCAGAGTGTGGAGGTGGATTGTGTAAAGCTGCATGAAAACCTGAGTAAAGGCATTGTTGTAACAAAGCCTGCTGTTTTTTTAATACCTTTGTTATTTACTCTTGGTATTTATGTGATAATTAAATTGTCTGCACCATTTTTAATGCAAAACAATTTTTATTTATTTATTATGTTATATTGATATGTCTATTTAGAGTACTGAACAGGTGAGGGCGCTGTTCTACCGAAGGAAACCACATATAGAAATTAAAAATGAATGATGTACCTTGAACTCATATGACTCCTCGATCACCACTTCCAGGCGACTGTGTTCCCCCAGAATGGGTTTTCCCATTTCAGCTATCCTGCGGGCCTCTTCCTCCTCAGCACTCATTTGACCTTCCACCCCCTCTGTAAGTGAGAAGGGAGGGAGGAAGAGACACACACAGTGAGAAAAAGAGGAAGAGTTAGGTGTTTCAGCATTTTATTTATGCATGTGAGTGAGAAGGAGTGAGGGAGGTGCTGCTGTAGTGGCAGCCGTTGAACAGCTGATCTGACTTCACCTCCAACAGGAAACTGTTGGACTCTGGGACGATCAACCAAGTCCAAATGAGGGCAGTTTTAACTTTAGTTTCTCAGTTGTCAGACATTAGTGATTGGTGTTTGATGAAGGGGAACAACAACCCTGACAGATTAAAAAAAACCTGGGTGAGTACTAGTTGAACTTCTCTGCTCTTCCTATGGCTTCAATATATCAACCTCCAATGTATTTTCCTGTGATTTTTCAGTATGACTTTGTTAGATTTAATATGGATCTGCTGTCAGTATTCTTTAAAGGTAATACCTCAAATACTTGGTAAGAAAAAGAAGGCTGTATTAAATAATCAATAAATTAATTAATGACTATTTTAGGACGAACTACGTGACATCAATACTCACAAAACCAAGTCCAGGTGTCGGACAAATGTACACCTTATTTTACACATTTAAGAATATCCTCTACTGCAAATGGCCAAGACATCATTTTACACAAAACATTAAACAACATATAAATGTGGGCAACGTTTTGAATCTTTCTCTCTTTTCATTACATTAACTGTATTACAGCAGTGTTGCTGCCTAGCATCCGACCACAGGCTCCAGGGGTTTTAATAATCTGTATTTGCGCCTCACTTGTCACATGTCTTGAAATATGATCTTCAAGGTTTGATTTGTTTAGAGCCCTGAAGGCAAACGCCAATATTTTCTGCTGCTGGAATAAACCTTTTCTCATTGAACTGATTGAGTTATGTTGGACATCAGTGAAAGTGAGGTTCCTTTCTGTTTGGAGAAGGCGGAGCACTGATCTTTGTAGACATTATTCTACCACGGCAGTTATCTGCTGTAAAACGGCTTTTATATGCTGTGAAATGAGGACGTACTGAAGAAGCTGCTTCACTTTGTCCAGCCTGGAGCCTTTAAAAAATAATGCTTTGCCTCCATGCACAAATCAAGAGAGAGAGCAAGAGAGAAAGAGAGAGAGAGAACCTTCTTGCAGGAGGAAGGGGTTAATACTGACATGTGGCCCAGTTTGTGTTATTGACCAGCTGCTAAAAGGGCAGTAACATCAGCTGCACCCACCAGAGTTCATCCTCCAAACATCAGGAGAACATGAGGCTGTAGGAGATTGTGTTACAGCCACTCTGTTTACCAAAGACTGGGCTGTCCACGACATTTTAAATGCAACGTTTTATTGATTTACCGTACTAATCTTATACAGCATCTTCCTTTTAAAGGGTCACAGGGGGCACAAGAGGCAACCCAGCAGTTCTTTCTGTTCTAAGACTGCTATCTTGTTATGTGATATAATATATATATATGTATATATATATATATTACATATGTGGATTTGGTCTGTTCTATTGTGATCTACAGTAATAAGTATGTTTTGATAAAAGACAAACATTCCTACCTTGATTGAGCAGCAGAGCTGTGGAGGAAACCAAGAAATAAGAGAAGGTAAGTGACGATGCATTCAATGGCATTAATGTTGAATAAATTTTTTTTACAAGTTACTGCATATTAGTCTGTTCACAGATATCACATAAAAAAAAACAAAGTCTTTAATCTGCAACCAAGCTGTGATTTAAACACAGTAGCTACAGCATCTGTAAGTGTGAATCAAGTAAACCATCCAGACTTTTTAAAGTAACGTACACATAATCTTTGTTAGATGTGAAGATTATCTACTAGAAAAAAGAGCAGTTTTTAAAACAGTACAACAGGTGTCTTATCCCTGTGATAAGTTCCTCGGCAGACACCTTTGTACCATTTTATTCTGTTTTTTTACTGGTAAGCACAACAGGTTCTGTGACGTACTAACATTTGTTGTTTGCTCTTTTTTTATGAGCCTTTTGTTGCTTCTCATCTCTTTGTGATCATTTCCAATCAAAGTGAGCCCAAACTCTGTTTACATTTTCTGCAGCCGTGGTGATGAAAAGGATTTTATCTGCAGCTCTGCAGCGCCCGACTGTCAGTTAACGCTGCTTTACTTGACAAACAAGGGGAACGCAATCATCTGAGCGGAAACACCGTGGATTGTGCTGCTTCAGCCGCATGTCTCCACTCAACTGTCTCTGAACACGAGGGAACTTCACACTTCAGAGGCACAAGCTGCTCAGAGTGGATTAGAGTGTGAGAAGCTGTGGTGACAAACGCATCAGCTGCAACATAAAGTGATGATCAGCAGCCGTGGAGCATAATTATGTGTTCCTGTTTACAATGGGTTGGTGTTTAATTGAACGATGGGGAAAAGTCAGGTGCAGATGGAGTAAAGTTGACAGGATTTAATGAAGCAATTCAGAGAAACTTTACACACAAACACTGAATAAACACATACCTGAGATTCCTCTCTTCAGCCAGCGTGGCTCCTCCAGCACGATAAAAAAGTTTTCATGTTTCTCATACTCTTCATCATCAATTATCCTCACCTGAAGAGTCTGACTGTAGACACACATATAAAGACAGATTAAATTATTACATTTTTTTAATTATATGCCATCGCTCAGTGTCTTGCAGTATTCTGCTTATAGAAGAATTAAAGAAAATCACAAAACCTGTAGGCTGACAGTAGGTAGTAGAAATATGACACAATATCTTGTAAAATTAGAGCTGAGAAATAATCATAACCTGGAGTCAAAAAAGACAATTAACATTTTATTTTATCAGGTCACTGGAAGTGTGTGTTGGTCTTTATGTCAAGTGAAGCTGCCCACTGTCCATGTTTTTGCCTTATTTCTATTTATTTTGTGTAAATGTAGAAATAGCAACCAGATTAGACACCCAGTAGGTGGCAGTAGTGCAACTTACAGTAGTGGACATGAAGGTGCTGTGTACTTGTTTGACAATATTCAGAATTAAAAAATGCAAAAATGTTGGATTAAAAACTGAGGCTGCATTCTTGTTGCATGCTTTACCATCAAGAACAATGGCAGTAAACTGATTTGATACCAATTGGACGAACATTTTATAAAAACATTATTTTAGAAATGTAATGAAATGTAAACAAAGGTCAGCTAAAGGACTCACCAAAAGAATACAAGCAGGCAGCAGTATAAAGGACTGTGAAAGTCATAATTGGTTCAATGCAGAATCACATTGTCATTAATTACTGTTTACACGTGACACAGGTGAGAACGATGACACTAAAAAGAACCAAATTTAAAAGTTTAAAACAAAATGGAAAAAAGTGGAAGAGACAGGCTTTTAAGCCATCAGGTTGTCAGCTGTGAATTATATGGAAATTCAGGGTGCTTCCAAAGGAGAGGAAGTGAAGTGGAAGTGACAATGACAAGACCTTTTTGTGTTTTAAGGATTGTAGGATAGGCCAGCGAGAAGCAGAGCAAAATACACACTGGCAGCAGACAAGGCAGGCAGAGGAGAAAAAAAGATGGAAACAAGATTGGAGAAAGAACAAAAACACAGGGAGAATCTGAGGGACCTGACAGGACTAAATGATAGATGGCTTCCACATTCATCTGTCTCAGAGAGCATCCTTTAATACAGTGTTTTGAAGGACAACGATGACATGACTACTACTATACTATAGTAATGTAGTCCTTGGCCTCTGAGCCGGTGACCATCACCACACTGTGGTTGTTTTCATAGCATATAAACAGCTCAGCTGTTGAATCAGACTGTATTTGTAGGACAGTCAGTGGAGTCTTGTCTACTATGTCATCAAAGTCGCTCAGTCACTCAGTGTTATAGCTGAAGCTGGTTTATAGTGGACAACAGATCAATAATAAAACAGTTATGTCTGGTATCCTGATCCTGACAGTTCCAGTCTCAGAGTAGGCTGAGGAGATGTGGATCAGTTGGAGGGATAAAAACCCTCTGGTTTATAGTTGGGCAGGAAAGAATAGACAACTGTTAACTGACGTACGGGACCGAAAGGAGTCAGAGATAAATCCACAGGACAGTCACTGCAGTTGTGTTCGTTGGCCACAGTCTTTGGTGAGAGAGTTTATAGTGCAGCTAAAGGAGCCACAAGAAGCAGAGAAGGCATTAAGCTGTAGATTCATCAAAAAGAATTCTTTCTAAATGCAGAATCTAGATGGTATCGATAGAGAGAGCCTCCAGGCTTCAAACACTCATCTGCACCAGCCCTGTCTGACCTGATTAGTGTGTGTGTGTGTGTGTCAGTCAGTGGAGCTGCAGGAATTCAACAGCTGGATTGTGAATAACACACATCCGTGTTGAGGTTTCTAAAGGTGCTGCAAACAAACTAGATATGATGTAGAACAAACAGACAGCTCTATATTTTGTCGTCTCTTCATTCATAAAGCAGTTGGAATGTTTCAGTAAAAGAATGGAAAACAGATGGGGAGATGTTAAGGGGGAGAGAAGAAGAAGAAGCTGCTGATCGAAGGTCACAGGATAAAAATCTATCTCATCTTTCTTCCATTCATTTCATTCATCCTCTACTGCTGAATCAAGGCTGCCGGGGGCGGGAGTCAATCCCAGCAGTCATCGAGCGAGGGCGGGGCAGACCCTGGACAGTTCACCAGTCCATCACAGAGTCACACACAGGTGTGGGCGTAAACCATACACTCACCAGGGAAAACGTGACCTCTATACCAAAAGACTGTGGATTCAATCAGTGAACTGATAATCTTTTTGTTGTAAGGCAAACATAATTACCACTCTTGCCACCGTGTGGCCTTCAAATCCTTATTTTTAAAATGTTCACTTGGACTCCGAAATGAACAGACGTGTGTTATAGAACGTGTTGATGACTTGGGGAAATCTTTAAAATGTTTTAAGAATCAGTAGGATTTGCTCTTCCTTAACTCAAAAGACTCTTTATTTAGGGGGAAACTTATTTTCTGTTTTTTTGTAATTTGTTTTCTTAATTGGACTTTAAGTTTTGATTAAGGCTCCTGTGGTTCTTCTGCAGTTTTTCTCTGTATGGTCTTTTGTGAATAAATGTTTAGTTATTTTCCTCAAAAATCGGACTCACGTGGTCTGGTCGTTTGTGAACTCCAGCTCTCCCCGACTTTCCTCGTAGTCCTCACCAGCCTTGGCTGTGCCAGACTCAGTGTGGTATGGAAGGATCACGGTGCCACGGGCACCTGAGTTGCGGGAGACTGTAACCTCCATGGTGCCCACGCTCTCGCTCACACGGAACATACGGTCACTGAAGGTGAAGATGCCAGCATGGTCGTCATCCAGAATGGTCACTGTGGCCACCAGGGGCTCCAGCAAGCGGGCTTTGGGGATAGCACCGGCTTCATCGCTCTCAAACATTCCTTCGGCATCTCCAACACGCAGATTTAGGAGACGAACAAAGAAGTGTTCATCCTCTTCAAAGATGTCGTCATCGATGATTCCCACCTGAAGATGAGCACAGATAAAAAAATATTATTATTATTATATAAAATGAAACATAACAATAAACAATAATTTGAAGTTTCAAAATCAATCACTTAAATTTACACAGTAAAATTTATTCATCTATAGACTGTTGTAACAGCCTTTTTGGCCAACAATCAGTCGTCAACAGGAAAAAGACAATGTTTCATTCTTTTCTTAGACGTTAGACCCATTGGGAAAATAAGCTTTCTATAAAAGCTCTTTTCTGAAGCACTCTTGTCCTTGTAACTCCTACGACAGATTTTCTTTTCAAAGAAGACGGGTGAGGTATCGATTGACAAACTTCAGATGGAGTGCAGCTCCACTCCAAGAAACAGCTCATTTTTATTTGTGCTGTAGCACTTTTTTCTGTTAGCTCAGCTCTTCATGGCACAGATGAAAAACATCATTCCGTGAACAAAGCTTTGAAACCTGATCAAATAATTTGGTAGAAATGATTTGAAATCATTTCGTTACCCTGTTGTTTCCAGCTGAGTGTCATGTGCTCATTGCTCATCTCATCCACAGAGTCTATAGTTAAAATTCATTAGACAATGACAGATGGACGATGGCTCGCAAACCCATTTTGGTGGCTGCTGTGTATTAATGAGAAGGGTGTAGGATGATTCTGAGGAAATCCATGACTTAAACAGACAAACACACTTGTGTGTGCACTTTTTAACTTGATCCCTGAACTGGGAATTCCACAAATCTTAATGAGTGAAAATGCCATCTGGATTTTCAGCACAAATAATTACAAAACTCCTGAAAACGATTGAGTCAGTTAGCGCACAAGTTAGCCTCGTAAAGCACTGCATTATATCTGATCTAAATGTTGGACCAAAGCTAACATTTAAAAACAACTTTGCTTATGAAAACAATGTCACCCAATAAAGCATGTGCTTTGTTTGAGAAACACTGCAGCTGTGCTGTGGCACAGTTTAACTCCCCATCACCAATCTTTCACATTGGATTTGTTCTAGAGCCTGAAGATACGACTCCAGCAATTTCTGTAATAACAGAAACAGACCCTGGGCCAAAGCAGCGAACGCTGACAGCATTGGAATGGTTGGCTCCATCTCTGTTTCATCAGAACCAGTGATGGTCAGACAGTGGAACCAATTCAGTGCTGAAAGTCTGAGACGAGTGGAACGTTCAGGTGTAATTGGTTTTTGAGACGCTCATTCATGCCAATGATCAACGTACTCCACCTGCAGGTGGTTTAAATGTGCTACGGTGACCTCATTATCTACTGCGTTTTGGTGAATTGTTCAGTCTTAACAGCTTTGTTTCTTATTATGTTCAGTCTATGCTGCACCCACCGCTCAACGCCTCCCTCTAATGGTTTAAGGATTACTCTGGCTGTTTTGTCTTTGCGTTTCACTGTCAAACATTTGTTTTTCAGACATCCGCTCCTCAGTAATAGTATATTTAAACCATGGTGACACGCCAACTACTATCAGTTACACAGCCTTTGTGGAAGAAGAAGAAAGTGAAAAATGTCATTATTATGCAGCCTGATGTTATCTCTGTGTCTAAAAAAATAAATGCTCAATAACAACAGAATGTTCTGCTTTAATCTGTGCCGCGTCTCTAAACTCGGGCAGATTTACTGCTCTCATGTTTTACTGTCATTTTTTACGTCTGCTTCTTATTATCTGCTTTTACTGACAAGACTTTGGTAATCTCGTTACCTCTAAGGAGCGCAATAGTTCATCCAGTTTTTTTGAGCTCAAACAATTTAGACAGATCAATGGGATGTAATTCACCGAATATATATGGCTGTCACACAGGAACGATAAGATGCAGAAAAACAAAAGCCTCAGATAGTTCAAAACACTTTTATCATTTGATCTCAGACTTACGAAGATAAAGCAGCAAACTAAATATTACCACTAGGACGTACAAAATGTCCTAAACCCCGGTCTCCCATGTTATCGGCTGGGATACTCACCACTATACTAACGAGACGGTGGATGGCAGTGACCAACCACTATCACTGACCTTGATCTCTTTACGAGTGTCTCCTGGTTTGAACACCAGCGTTCCTTCGCTGTACTCATAATCTGAGCCGGCATTAGCAGAACCATCTTCTGTCCTGTAGTCCACATAGAACGTGTTCTCTCCTAAACCACCTGGAAAAACAAAATGACAATAATTTAAAAGATTAATAAAAGTGTGGTTAAGTGATAACAAAATAATGCATGAAATCATTGTTTATATGAAATCACCATAGTGGTGTCAGCTAACTCAATAAAGTGACCTGATCGTAACTTATTCATGTCAGTACCTTGGCAGACTACAGCCAGCGTCAGGACTCCACAGTTCTCCATGCACTGACTATGGGCACTTTCAAATGAGATACGACTGCACACGGCCAGGTCGTCGTCCTCCGGTTCTTCCTCATCAGGTACGGCTGTGCGGCGTGCGTTGTCAGCTGCGTGCTTCTTTAGAATGTTACCGGCTCCAATCATCATACGTGTTGCCTTTAGAAGGAAGAATGAGGATGAGAGAAGAGTTTGTTACCAGCCCTCTACAGACTTTGGTGTGTGTGTGTGTGTGTGTTCATGTGTGCCACCTGAATGCGGTAAAAGGCTCGACTCTTCTGTTGGTGCAGCAGTGCGTAGTAGTTGGCCAACTCCACCAGCTGGTCCAGCTCTTTGTCGGGGTATTTCTGCTTCAGTTCCTTCAGAATTCGAATCACCTGGAGGTAAAGAAATGGAAGAACACACTCTCTAATTAGAAAATCTAATGTGCAGCATGCCTGCACGTTACACACCGCATACAAACATGCAGTTCACGACATCCTTTAGTCCCTGTAGCAGCTGAAAGAGGGATTAATCTTTACTTCCTACAGTCCTCAGAGTTTTAGGAGAGTTTCGTGCTCATGAATGGTTATTTTATAAAGGAAGTTTCTTCTGAATCGATGCACTGTCTGAGACAGGCCACGTCAATGTGTGGGGGCTGATGGGTTATGCTGCAACATAATCAATATTCTTTTATTTCTCCGTGTCTTTTACTGTATTTTTTCATGGATCTTTCCTCTCACCTCTTTACGGCTCTCGTCCAGCTCCTTGTTGCTCTCCACATTCACCATCATGCTGTTGGAGTTTGGCATGTTGGCTCCCGCTGCCGTGGTCCCTGCTGCTGTACCAACACTGTTAGCTGCTGCGCCTGCTGTACCATCCTGGGCCCCTCCACAGTTTTCCACAGGAACCACTGCGCCCCCTCTTGGTGGGAACTTGCCGTCCGTGATCATCTCCATGCCGCCCTTGTTGGGTGTCAAGTCTCCCTCTGTCTCTACTACAATGCCATGGCGCTTGTCGGCACGGTAACGCTTGCCCATGTACTTGTAGAAGAGCAGGCGGCGATCGGCGACCCAGGCAAGAATAACACACACAGGGAAGAAGAGTAGAGTCACCAGAGCCTCCCATACCTGGAACACACAGAGATGCTCGTTATATCACAACAAGTTGGAAAAAAGGACAGAAGTGCAGTAGGATCAAAAACACATTATAGGAACAGTCAGAGAGGATTGAATTAGCAGGTTAACTTATACCAGGTATGGGGGGTGTTTTATAGGTTTTCAAGTTTCTATATAAATGAAGACCAGACCAACAGATTTCTGCAAGAATTCTTTTGGAATGGTGTTGCAGGTAGGGATGAAAATTCATAAAATAATTACAATTTCTGATTCCATTATTAATCAGTAATCAATTCTCTCACTAACACGTGCGGCAAGATGGCCAAGTCCGTTTGGTTACATAAACTCTATGGTCTCACCTCCACGATACCTGGAGAAATGACAGACAGGATGAGGTAAAGCCAGATGTACGCAAAGATGCTCCAGAAGGATGTGATGAAGAACACCCTCAGGTGTTTGATCTTGCGTGACTCGTTGTTGGGGATCACCCACACACAGATGCCAATGATCACAAACATGTTGAAGGCCGCGCTGCCAACGATGGTTCCTGGGCCCAGTTCACCACCCTCAAAGCCATGACCACACACCTGGAAGGAGAGCAGGCTGTGTAAGGATGTGGGATATACACTTTGATGTGTGTGTGTGTGTGTGTACCTCTATCACAGACAACAGTATCTCTGGAGCGCTGGAGCCCAGAGCCATGAGTGTCAGGTTGGATACTGTTTCATTCCAGATTCGAACTGTGGCCACTGATGTTTCCCCATTGGGCATGGTTATGGTCACTTCCTTTTCCTGTTGTCACACACACACACACACAGGCATACAGTACTCGCATTGAACATACATGTCAGCACTTGTCAGGACACAACTCTATAACAACAGGAACAATAACAATAATTCCCAGGATGGTTGTGTGGAAAAGTGACACACAGTCATTAGGATTATGGGACTAATGAGAGCAGCCATAGTCTTGAATCCTGGATTATCAGGTTCCTAATGATTCAGGATTCACTAAAAGTCAGGATATATCACAGTTTAAAATTACACTGGAAAAACAGTTCAGATCATTTATAAAAAGTCTGTTTTAGGCAGGGCATAACTGCAAAACAATACCACAGAAAAACCTAAGTCATCTGACAGCGCTGTGTTCAGTTCAGTTCAGTTCAGTTAGAGATAACAGGTGCCTGAATGTCTCATGACAGAACGTTCAGTTCAGTTAGAGATCACAGGTGCCTGAATGTCTCATGACAGAAATTCACAGGATTTATTAAACACCTCCTTTGTGCCAATGGCCTAAAAAGGACACGCCATCACTTCTGCATTTCAGGAAAAAACCTGTGAATTATACTGACAGGACGGCCGACATCTTGCTAACATAAGGTGTCAAGCGTGTAAATCACAGAGCAGATGCACAAAATAAACTGCGGAAACCAGCCAGGACAATAAAACACTGTGGCTGTATAGCCTCCCACAGTGTACGTATAATCCATAGCCCACATCAGCAGCAAAATATAATCGTTTCACTTCTGAGGCCATAACTTACATCCACATAAAACCTTTATCCGTTGTTCTTTTTAGTTTTTCTGCATTGTCACGAAACACAACATAAAATATTATCTATTTTCTAGATGTTAAAAAAGGACCTTGAGATGAAGTTTCATTAAGTAGTTTACAAGTTTTACTTTGTGGAAATCAATTTCCATCTGAATATATGAAAACCTACAGACTTAACTGCTGACTGGCCTCAGCTTCATCCATGACCATCATGAGAGCAGCAGATGATGGAGAATCAATTAAATATTTGAGTAAAACTGTTATTCTTTTAAAGGCAGAACAAAACAAAACAATTTTCCACTTGATTTGTTATAAGAATAATAATTTTCTGCTGATGTTTTGGTCTCAATTTCGATCTCAGATCTTCATAGTAGTATGAGCCAGTGGTACCAAAAGTAGTATGGCCACAAGTTATCAGTTATCTATGGTATAGGCTCCCATTGGATGATCCAGCTGTCAATCATACCTGGTGCTCATAAATGCAGAGGAATGGCTCCAGGAAACTGTGATGATTTTTGTATCAGTTTCCGATGGTAACACACAGATACAGACACACACAGACAGACAGACTAATGCTCATCCACACACTTTAGCTGAGGTGTGACACGGCTGTGGCAGAGATGGATTGTGGGTAACAGAATCAGATGTTCAGTTGCATTGCCCTTGAATGATGGATGGACTTGAATTATGGATGGACTCTTCCTTTTATCTCTCTCTCTCCTACCATCCGTCACCAGCACTGTTACACTTCATCTCTTTACACGAGATAAAGAATCAGCAGCTCAGACAACATATTTTTCACTAAGAGTAAACTAACTGAAATCCCAAAAATGTAATATTGGATTTGAGAACAAGAGTCTGGTCTGTCCACTGATGCAGTACAAGGACAGTGAGGGGGTCATGAGAACCAAGGCTAATCATTCAGATGATTAATGAGACACATATACACACTCACACACAGGAAATGCTTCAATCGGAATGCAGTGATCCTAAACAACTAAAATGAACCTACAGTGGAAGGACAGATATTATTTTTCATTGTTTTTATGTTTATGTACAACTCTATGAGCATTTGTATCTCACCTGTGAGGTGATAACCTCTATAGATGCCATGAAGCGATCAGCGATGATGGACACTCCCAGGAACATGTACATGAGTGACACAAAGTAGATCACGGCCCGTGCTATCTTGGCACCGAGCCCAGGCTCAGTCGGCTTCCACACGGGCAGGAGAATCCCTGGTCTGCACACGGTCACATCTTCACATTTCTTTTTGCCAGGAGAAGAGATGTTGGCATCTGGCGTGGAGGACGGGGGAGAAGTGGGGAAGACTGAGGGTGAGACTGCTCTCAGGTAGGGGTCACTGCTGGGGTCGCTGTACAAGGACACGGGCTGACAGGGAGGCAGCTGCTGATGGAAGAGGACCAGGAAGTAAAGGATGGAGACGGATGACGCGAGGAGAGACATGGTGATCTGTGGTTCCCACGAGACGCCGCCAGGCAGGGGAGAGAGAGGGGATGAGGGTTGGTGCGACTAGTTCACCTGCAGGGAGAGAGAGGAAGACAACGAGAGAAAACATGTTAGTCTGTAAAAAAAAAAAGGAAAAGGTATGAAGACAAAACTAGATCTTTTGTGTTAACAATACAAATGAGCTCCAAACTCCACACTGTTGGATGATGTTGGTGCAGATCAGTGGAGAGGCTCTTCGTCTGTGATTCGTTCCTGGGTTACGTGTCAAAATCTTACACCATGCATTACAATTTGATATTTTGTTACTACAACAACATCTGATTGATCAGCCTAAGTTAAGAAAAGTTAACTTAGTTATTAACTTAGTTAAAAAAAGTTCTTTTTTCATTTTTTAAAAATCACTGAAATAGTCACAGGTGATATCAGCCCAAGTTAAGAAAACTTAACTTAGTTAAAAAAAGTTCTTTTTTTAAAATAAAAAAGTTCATCAGGTTAACATAATTGAAAAACATATTTTTTGGTCAACACCAGAGTTGCGGTTCTTTTGAATTTGTGCATTATGACAAAAAAACCTCCTAACGGGCTTAGATCATACGGACAGAAGCCCAGGGCGCTCCATTTGTGTGGGGTATTAGATGAAAAGATTGTAGGATTTCTAGTCCATTCCCAGAGGCAGCTCTTGTTTTCTGGTCGACTCTGTGGGCGGAACTTTGTCTTCTTTTATGTGAAGGTTTAACTCTGACCTGCTCTGTTCATGATGAACGAGAGTAATATTTCAGTGCAGCAGACTTTTGCCACTAACTGTTTTACTGCATGATTAATTAGCACTGTAGTAATAATTTTTCAGATGGGGTAGAAAAGAGGTGAGCGCCAAATGAAGAAATGAAGAGAAAGGAAATTATCATATGCCGAGGGTGAGAACAAGAGTAAAATTAATAAAAATGGGGAGGAAGACATCATTAAAGCATAAATGAGGAAAAAAAGTGGGAAGAAGCAGAAACAAGGGAAAATGTTTGGGTGAAAGAAAAGACGATAAGAACTGATGGAGACAGAAAGATTAAGGAGAACCCTGAGTGCCTGAGGGAAACAGAAGAAGAAGGAAGCACAAGGTTTACGTTTGTGAGTTTGTATTATTGTGTTTGTCTGAGTCATTCAATCCCCAAGGCCACTATTACTACACACAGAAAGTGTGTGTGTGTGTGTGTGTGTTTGCCAAGTGCAAAGATGAAGCCTCAGTGTGACACCACAGGATGTACAGATGGACGGCACTTTGTTTCCATCTGATTAAGCATCAAGCCTTGATCCTGTATCCTGGTCTTCCTCCCACCTGTTACATCACCATATTTATATTCTTCATCTTCACCACCGTCATCATCATCACTTCTCCTTCCTTCTCTCCATCTGTTCATTATTGTAAAAACCTCCTCCTCTGCTCTAAAAGGCACACGCCTCAGAGGATCCCATTAAAAGGGAACATTTTGTGTCGTCACGTTTTCTCAACAGCCCTGAGTTTTTGTTGTTTAAAGTTGCCTGAATCCTTTTACAGGTTTTAAAAATACTGCAAATTTGGGCTCAGGCCATCGTGTCACCAGTGCAGGGACACAGATGTTTGATGGAGAAGCTATTAAACTGGTGTCCTTGATCAAACCAGGGAGCCAGTGTCTCACTTGCTGAGAGGCAGGAGCAGTTACTAACTCTCCGATGTCATTAGTCATGTCTGTAATTTTAGTTACAAGGATCTTTAGCTCCTCTGTGGTGTTTTTTTACTGTGGGCCAAAGGATTGGAATTATCCTCTGTGTCTGAAAGAGTCTCTTCATGAGTCTTGACTGACATCCCATCTTACTCCTACTGTCAGAGTACGTGGCTTTTTCATTAACTCGTCTTTAAAGTGAGCCATTGTCCCCACCTCGTTCTGTGGAGCACCATTTTAATCTCTGTCGAATTTGATTTTGTTAGCTCACCATCACTGTTGTGTGCAGGGCATCTGGGACCAGAGGGAAGTGAATGGAAGTGAAAGCTACTGAAGCAAGAGTAGAATAAAAACTGTAACACAGTCTAGAGACTAAAACAAAAGATATAAAAATGGAAGACTGGAATAAAGACGAAGATTTCTGATTTTATCTCTGCAACTTTTAGTCAACTTTCTCATATTCTTCTTCTTATCTTTTGTTGCATTATTTATTTTCAGTCTGTGGGATACTTTTGACAAATAAATCAAACATGCTAACTGTACATAATTTGGGTATATTCTGTACATTTTTCTTGCTCTTTTTATTGAAATGCTTCTCCAGGAGCAGATTTATAACCAACTACTGGTGTCACAGTTTTTTGACTAAATTAAAGCCAAAATACTATTACAAAGAAAGAGGACCGGGCGAAGGGGCAACAGAGAAGGAATGTGGGTGTTTGATACCCACATCCAGAGGTGCAGGCTTTCAGTGTTACCATAGAAACGTCAGGCAGGTTTGGTGGGGTAATCAATCACAGTACTGTGGTGTTGTAGGGGAGAATGAGAAAGAGAGGAAGACGGAGAGGGAGGGAGAGTCTTATTAACATTTAATATTATTACTCCTTTGCCTCCAACTGAAAACTTATTTTAAAAAGAGCTACTGTGTTACACCATGAATATAATGATGGATATTTTTTTTACATTTACAGAATTTTCGATGTTGACATAAAATACTGTGTAATTTATATACATATATACACATGTACATATACACACACTCACATTCAGTAAGTTGTCTGACCCCACCTCCTCCTTTCTTTTGCTGTGACTCCTGATCTACATTACGTAGTAATTCAACAAAGACTGAGCAAACATAGAAAGTACTACATACATTCGTACTGACTCTCATTTAGAGAATTTAGACTCCCATACTGTTCATGCGAAAAAGGGAGGGTGCTAAATCAAGGGGGATGATTAGAGCCATGTTGATTATGAAGGTCTTCAGCCTTGATCTGAACATAACTTACAAAAGAACATCAAAACAAAATGTTACAAAATATTCAGACCCAGAGCTTTGACCTTCTTTAACATTTTAGTTTCTTTAGTACTTTAATGTATTCAATTAAAAAACAAACCTTTTCTAATGTGTTATAAACAGAACCTTGAAATCTTTATAACTAAAACTGCTTCGCCCTCAGCACGAATCACAGCCTCAGTCTGGTCTGCACCTGAGCAGTTTATTCTTCTTCTGCTCTGACTTACTGGATGTCAGGTGTGTGTGTGTACTGTCTTCTGGCAACAGTCTGAAGACAGCAGTGTCTGGCATTGATAAAGTCCCTGTCACAGCACACACTCTGTTCCTTGAAGTTCTATTTGATAACCTCTCACACGGCAGCTGTTGTTTACCTCACGGTTACTACAGTTTTACATTTTACTAAGGTTATATACAGTTATATCTGATGTAATCTCTGTCTAACCTAACATTTTCTCCAAAAAAAAGTCTTGTCTCAATTTATTGACTATAATGTCAGAGCAGGGGTTTCCTTTAATACGGCTGAATAAATACCCACAGGTTGTAGAGTCTTGTCAAAATAAACCACTGACCACCATCAAAAATAAAACTTTTTCACACTGTTTTTGTGTTTCAGGCTACCATGATGGCAGACGCACCAAATCAGAGCCAGGAACAATGTTGAGCAGCAGCAGCCAAGACATTCTTATTATTGTTTTAAAGTAGAGAAATCTGGTAGCAGGACATGACAACTTTTAAAAATGTGATACAGTAAAGAAAAAACATGAAGGTCTGTCTTCAAAAACTTCATTCTGATGCCTTCAGTTCTCTAAGAACGCTGTGATTTCTTTTATATCAAAGAACTATTTTTCAGACCCGAACTTTATAATTCACAACATACAGTTTAGTTTTTTCGTGGTGTCTGGTTCCTTGGTGTTTACACGTATAATAACAGGCTGAAATTCACCTTTTTAGTTTAGTTTTCTCGTGGTGTCTGGTTCCTTGGTGTTCACACGTATAATAACAGACTGAAATTCACCTTTTCCTTCAGGTCACAACCAGGAATAAATAGCAGCAGCCCGATTAGCATCAACCATCACTGTTTAATGCACCGTTTAAATGGCTGTTTAAACAGGATTACAGGCAGAGGATAACAAAGGCACTTTACTGTAACCATCTTGATGAGTGAGTCTAGATTGGATGAACAGGAATCACAGGGAGAAGGAGGTGGAGATAAGAGAGGGAGGAAATAAGAGTGTGTGCATTAAGGTGTGTTTCTCTGTTTCAAGGTCAAAGCATTGTCACGTTGGTACAAATCAAAATCTTCATGTATACTGTCCTGTATGTTACAATAAAATGAACTTCCATTTGTCAGGAGTCCATTGGGAAAAACAGCTACAAACAGTAGAACACATTGACCTGACATAACCCACGAAGCAGCTTAGTGAAGAGAGATTTGAACTGGAGACACACTGCAAGTCTGATGAGATGACCAATGTCCATGTATGGGTAGGAAAGATGAGCTTCCAAGTGCAGTTGTCTGTACTATTTCACATTTAGAGTATATAAAGGCAAAGTTTATAAAAACCTAAGCATGTGGGAATATTGCAGGACTAGAGAATTCAAAGACAAAAGACAGAAGTCAATTGTTCACCTGAATATGAGTGACCATTTTCCCAAGATATAAAAGGGTCAGTTATAGTTAGTTGTTCACACACCGTATAAATAAGGTATAGAGGAAACCTAGCTTATATTAAAACAAGCTAATGTATTATTGATTTTGTGTAAAAGGTTTCAAGGTAAAGTGACTTGAAAATAACTAAATTCACGATACCTCAGGATAAAATCTGTTAATAATTAAAGAATAAGGAAATCAGAAAATGACCAGTCCACTCCTGATGGAATAAGTCCTAACAAAAAGACATTAAGGACATTTCAATTTAAGAATTCTATGTTTCCACACTTTAGGCTACATATGCAAATAATTCTTCTCTGTCCTTCTGTTGCCATGCATCTTCAGAATTTGGAACTAAATAATAATAATTTGAACTTGATTGATCCCACACTAGGGAAATAGTT